GTCAGGGTTGTGGGCAGAAAAGGGAGGGGTCGCAGGGAAGGGGTGGAATGGGTCAGGGTTGTGGGCAGAAAAGGGAGGGGTCGCAGGGAAGGGGTGGAATGGGTCAGGGTTGTGGGCAGAAAAGGGAGGGGTCGCAGGGAAGGGGCGGAATGGGTCAGGGCTGTGGGCAGAAAGGGGCGGGGAGAGGGAAAGGGGCAGAAGAGGGTGGGACCATGGGCGGGGCCATAGGCAGAAGGGGCGGAACCGCAGGCAGAAGAAGTGGGGTGGGGACAACTTTCTGGACCCGGGGCCCCCTCACTTGTTCCAGCCCAGGGCCCCAGGAGACCTTAATCAGCATCTGGACATTGATGTGAGTATGGAAGACACCTGTGCGTGATTTCTTTGAATGTGGAGACGGGGCGACAGAAGCGGGGGGTAAGGGGGCGCTGGCACCTGAACCACGGTCCCACCCTCACGCTGTCCTTTCCCCTGAGCACTACCCTCGAACTGTCGCTTCCCCCTGAGGCCCCGCCCTCGCATCACCTCTTCTCCCCAAGACCCCGCCCCTGCTCGCTCCTCTCCACCTCCTCCCCCCGTCGTTTGCCCTTATGGCCAGTAAAAAGTGGGAGGGCCATGGCCCCCTGGCCCCGCCTCTTCCCGTGCCCCTGCGTGGAGATGTTGTGCACACCAGGGTCCACACAGTGCTTGGCAGGATGCCAGGAAACCGAGGCGATTGGAGATTGTCATCCTGCTGCAGCCTTCATCCGCCTTCACAGCCGTTGAGAGAAATTGTCTCTTTGTCCACCTGCTCTGCCACTGAGGAGTTATGGGAAACCCAAGCCCTCCACCCACTGAAATGGAGAAGGACCTTGTGGGAAGGATCCCAGTGTTATGAAACCCAACAAAGACAACAGGAAATGGAGAAACGGGAAAGGAGGAAAGAACGCTGTGCAGCCCAACTAAATAATCCAGATCTGTCAGATTTCGTGACATCAGAGCAGTTATAGCTTCTTATGCCACCCGTACGAATGCAAGAGACCAGATCAAAGACATGCGTACTATTTATGTCATTTTAAAACCAGTCTCATAATTTTTAATCCAATCTCATGATTTTTAAACCCATCTCACAATCGTTGGGGTGATTTCATGATTGTGAAAGCGATCTCATGATTTCAAAAGCAGTTTTGTGACTTTCAAGGGGATCCCATGATTCTATCCCCTAATCCTAATCCTAAACCAAATCTCATGATTTTTAAAGTCAACCTCTCGATTTTTGAACCAATCTTGTGAATTTCAGACTGATTCACGACTGTTAAGCCAATCTCTCCATTTTAAACCAATCTCATGATTTTTTTAAAGCAATCTCACAGTCTTCACACTGATTCATGCCTTTTAAACCAGTCACACATTTCTAACCCAACCTCAGGAATTTGTCAGGCCTGGCTCATAACCATTGGCTGCTTTGGGCTACGGCACCCAGGCCAGCTCCCCCCACCCCATTCAGCATCCCCTGGGTGCCGTGGCGAGATGAGGAGAGGCGTGGCTGGGACGTGTGTTTGGTGGGTAATTGTGGCAGGCGTGACGTGCTGTGAGCTCTCAGTCTGATCTGGCGAGCCTCCTCCTTATGGTGCTCCTCACCCACTGGGCAGCTTTGCAGACAATGGGCTGTCCCGGCAGGGCACAGACAGACTTCCCCCAGGACACCACGCCCTGCAGCTGCCCGTTGCAAACCAGTGGGCCTCCTGAATCGCCCTGCAGTGAGAGCCATCAGCAAAACACAGCCATGCCCCACGTGTGCACACACACAGACCAGGGCTCATCCTCTCCAGCAGGGGGCGGCAGCAACACACAGACACACACACACACACACACACACACAGATGAAGGGTTTAAAGAGCAGAAATGGGTTCAGGTGGTCCGAGCCTGCTACACCTGAGCTGGGAATCAGGCCCAGAGGTGCTAGAACTAGAGGTGCTGGACGTGCGGCATCACCCCCTGGCTTGCAGTGGGTTTCCATCATGTACAGGGTTTACAATTTTGTACAATGGCTCTCAGCCCCCCACTATAAAAACTGTTCCAGGACCTCTCTCAGG